CGGCTATTTTTTGGTTGCAGCCATCATTGTTGTTTGATGGGCCCAGGCTGGATTCAAACCCACCAGCTCAGGTATATGTGGCTGGTGCCTTAGCCACTTGAGCCACAGGCGCTGAGCCCAGGCTAGTCTTGAACTCCTGAGCTCAAGCTATCCATCACCTCGGCCTCCCAGCGTGCTAGGATTATAGGCATGAGCCACCGCACCCTGCCTATCCAGTACTCTTTATACTCAATATTTATTTATTTAGAGATAGAGTCTTACTCTGTGGCCCTCAGTAAAGTGCCGTAGTGACACAGCTCACAGCAACCTCCAGCTCTTGGGCTTAGGCGATTCTCTTGCTTCACCCTCCCAAGTAGCTGGGACAACAGGCACCTGCCACAATGTCCAGCTATTTTGTTGTTGTTGTTGTTGTTGCAATTTGTCCAGGGCCAGGTTGGAACCCGCCACCCTATGTATATAGGGCCAGTGCCCTACTCACTGAGCCACAGGCACCACCCTATACTCAATATTTAAACTTCTCTCCCAAGTTTGAGTTTAGTGTTGTGAATCCTCAGCCCTGGCCAGGGAACCATGGAAGGTGGAGAGAGACTAGCAGATAGATCTGTTATCACCAGATATATAAGCTACAGAGGGAACTTTTAACCTTTCTACTCCTAGTACCAAAAGGGCAAGAATTGTCCTTTTGGCAATTGGGTACCAAATACAGGGGAAAAGATTGGGGCCTAGAACTGCTTCTATTTTCATTATGAGAAGGGTATATTCTAGGTGACCTCAACTTCTGATAACTTACCTCCTTTAGGGTATAGACAACTTTATGATAAAAATATCAGATTGGGACGGTGCCTGTGGTACAGTGGGTAGGGTGCCGGCCACATACATCAAGGCTGGCAGGTTTGAACCTGCCTGGGTCTGCTAAACAACAGTGACAACTGTAACAAAAAAAAATAGCCTGGCGTTGGGGCGGGCGCCTATAGTCCTAGTTACTTGGGAGGCTGAGGCAAGAGAATCACTTAAGCCCAAGAGTTTGAGGTTGCTGTGAGCTGTGACGCAACGGCACTCTACTAGGTTGACAGCTTGATACTCTATCTCAAAAAAAAAAATTAGATCATTCATTAAAGTTTTATCTAGCGCCTACTGTGTGCCAGACATTCATGATAATAAGCACCATATGTTCCCAAGTGGACTCTGCTTGTAATTTTGACTTTCATCATTTGTTGCTATCAACTCAAATGAAAAATACCTTGGATATCCATAACATCTATTCTAGGCTCCAGTCTCTTTGG